CTTGCAAAGACAATGTGATTATGTAAGGGAAGACATCGCTTCCTTCAGCTTTTCTTTAAAGAAAACTGCATGCTATCTATACAGCCACAGTAGAGTATTAAGTTGTACATTTGCAATACATTACCCAGTTTATGATGCAAGAGAGATCCTATGATGGGGAACACTGGCAGGTGTTTGACAGGTAAATGACAAGTGTTTTCACACAATGAATTAAAGCTCAATTCCTTGTTAGATACTGCTTCCCCCATATTATAATTAGGGTTAAAAAAAAAAAGGGACAGAGGTTACAGGAAATTTGGTCAAACTCTAATTAAATTGTCATCTTTGTTTTTCATTACCAAACCATGCTTCTATGGTCAACTCTCTACTTGAAATATCAGTTTACACCTCTTCCTGTTGTGCTGCACAAAGTTCTAAAGTGCATTTGTGGTGAAAAACTCAACAAAAGTACTTTTGAGCATTCAAAATTCTGGTAAGTGCTTTTCACTGAAAAAGTTCTAGGGTGTAGCATTTGAGTATATGCCTCATGGTTTTTAAGTGTAGGCTGATGTAATTGTTCTTCAAGGAGTATGAGATGTTTTACAGTTTTTGGAAAATGACCGCATTTCCTGGGCATGTAGAAAGGACAAGTGCCAAGAGACTGACCATTCATTGATGGAACTGGTTTTAACATACTGAATATAAGAATGTAAAATTACACATTTGTGGGCCAGTGAGTATAAAATTCTCTAAAATATAAACTAAATATAATTAATGTAGATGAACACAAGAGCCAAAAGAGTAAGAACACCTGACATATGCAGAGCTAGAAAAACTGAATAGAATGAAGAGCCCATGTAAAGGAATCTATTGTGGAGCAAAGAATGAAGAACTACTTTTATCGTTAAGATATACATTACCTTTTTAGCTTTTCTTTTAAATCAATGAACTGTAGAGGCATCATAAGATTCCTTTGAACATGACTTTATCATGCCTCAATTTGCTACATCTGAGTTTAATTCAAGGTTATTCAGCTTGTATCAGAGAAATTAAGAGCATAAAGACCAGAACAATAGCCTATCTAGGTAAAATCAACATGGTGAACGGCACTTAAAAAATAAGGCACGTGTTGCATCAATGCTAGTTTGCAAAATTATACGTAGTTTCTATGAAGCAAAGAGAAATCAAAAAAGGTCTATACTCATTTTTAAATGCCCATGGACCACTGGGCACATCTACACGTGCAATCAACGCAATGCAATGCTGGGATTTATTGCTTGTGGACACAGCATTTACACGTGCGCCCAGGACTGTAACATGTTGAGTCAGGTCAATGCAGCCATAGCTGGCAGGGAGCCCCAGGGGTCAGTCTGCCAGTCTGGGGCAGCTCTGACCTGGCTCAACAAGGTGTGGAGGGGCTGAGGTACAAACATGCTACTATGTGGGGCTAGCTGGCAGGCAGATCTGCACTGTAGCACCCTTGTGCCCCAGCCAGCTCTGGTCAGCATCTACATACATGTTGCAGTGGAGTAAATAACTCTACTATAAGTTTATCAAACAGTACTAACCTACAGTAGAGTTAATTAGTTTATTCCGGCCTAATAGCTCCACACCTGTACACAGAGATGATCTACTGCAGAGCTAATTAGTCAACTCCAGAGTAAATATCTCATGTAAAGCCCCACATTGAGAAAGGTTTGTCTTACTTTGTACAAGACATGAGATTGAAAAATACTTTGTTACATTTGATTTTCACGAGTTGGGTGTTAATCTGTGTAAGGAAGTTAAAGGTACAATTCTCAAATTCACTTCTATATTTTTCTTTGAATGTGTGAAACAAGTTAGGACATACAAACCAGAGCAAAGACACACGAGACAAGCAGCGCAGACAGGGAAAAGAAGAAAAAGGCATGGTTAAGAATAATTCCCCATGGTCAGAAAAATGTTCCTTCATTATCTAAGAATGATTACTGCCTTCAAAATCCAGGGACTTTCAAGGTCCTGAACAGATGCACCTACTATTGTCTTCAACTAATCATGCAAGTAGCTTGCATCTCAAAGTCAGGTAGGCCCCAAGGGGTTTAATTTTGAAGGGAAACATGCAGTTTAGATATTTAGTGCAAATAAAATATTCTAGTAATACTTTAATTTGAATGCTTTGCTCTTACAGTTTTTGGAAAGATCTATTCTGCCTGCTTATTTTGACATTTCACATAATTTACCCAGTGCTGGTACCTAGTTTCCTAGGCTAGATTGTTATTTATGCAGTAGTTCACAAAACTTTGGAACTTACTAAACAACTTGACATCCTACTTACCTATATGCATGGCATTAGACTTGGTGGTTACTCCGGCTAAAAATAGATTTAGTACCTAACATTTCCAAAGACAAATTTAGCTTTTTACATCACAGCAATTCTACAGAAGCCAATACTCTATTTAGGTATATTTACAATAAAGCAGAAAGTTGTTACCTTTCAGTTGCCAAGTCTTAATATTTCTGTTAATATAGGGTATAGGTCATTGGCTGTTCATAAATTGGAAGGCCGTAAGGGACCTCAGAAGTTCATTGGGTCCAGCCAGCCCCCTGCACCAAGCAGGAAAGATAACTGGGGGTCAGGTGACCCCAGCAAAGTGACTGTCTAATCTCTTGAAGATTTCCAGGGTAAGTGATTGCACCACCTCTGGAGGGAGCTTATTCCAGTCTGGACACCCTGACTGTGAAGAAGTTTTTCCTAATGTTGAACCTGAATCGATCTTCTAGGAGTTTGTCGCCATTACTCCTAGTTTTCCCCTTGGGTGCCCTGGTGAACAGTTGCTCACCGAGCCCTTGATGTACTACCCTAGTGTAGCAGTAAGCTGCTACCAGAGCCCCTCAGTCTTCTTTTCCTCAGGCTGAAGAGTCCAACACCTTGACAATTTTAGTGTAGGCAATGAGTTCTACAAACAAGCTACCCTTTTTAGACTTTCAGATACTCTAACATGCTCTACACAGCAAGAACAGTCAAGTTCAGCCTTAAAGATGAATTGTAAAGTAACAAATTAAAGTCTGCTCTTTTTTTATACAGGTATACAAGTTTTAGTTCAGAACAAAGGGCACCTTTGATTTTCTATGTAGCAATACATTTCATAACAAGCCCTTAATTTACTAACTATATATGGAGGGAAAAAAAGGAAACTGTTAGTATTTGACAATACAAGCTGAAAGGATCTGTAGTCTGGAAGATAACAAACTTCATCTTCATTATGTATAAATTAATAATTCAGTTAAATAATTTGTATGAGCCAGAGAAGGGGCATAGTAACACACTGAGTGAACAGAAGTCAGCTAGGTAGGCTACTACCTACCAAGATATGCCATCCAGACAGGCTGAAAAATTACTAGGATAAATTTGCATTGTAGAATTACTCATCAGATACTAACTACACTGCCAGAAAATGCACTAACATACCTGGCACCAAGGAACTGATAAGTAGAATATGACAACAGACACTTTATGTTTAAGATTTCAAGTTCAATATACTTTTCTTTTTTTAATCAGATACATCAAGTAGTGTAGAAACTAGCCAGATTACTACCATTCACGTTAAATGGAAAGAATTACAGAATGTTCTGTATTAGTAGACATCATAATTAATTAGAAAAGCTCATTTTAATAAATGAGACCGACTAGAAGGTGTTTTCAGTCCGCCAAGTGATTAAATTACTTTTGTCTCAGGTTACATATGTTGTATTCAAATGAAAACCGCATTCTTGACATCCTGATTTCTAAACGGGCTCCTGCAGACAAGTATTAGTCCAAAGACCTATCAGCACTCTTTATATATCGTCATAGTTGAAAAGTTTCTGAAAAATTAGGAAAGTACAATTAGATCATTGAAACTTTCCTTTAAACATTTACATTTTAAAAGTCATAATTCACTAGGCGTCTATCTCAAAGGCCATTGCCTGTTGCTTTTAAAATAAGTCTTCCAACACAAAGACAGATCCCAAAAAAGGGCAAAAATGTCTATGGTAGCTATTTTAGCAATGGTATTCAGCAACATCATCAGCAACCTATTATAACTAATCTTCCCACTGTCAAGACATCTGCGCAAACTCACCCATAATACCAGAGTTTACTGCTCCTTGGGTTTTTTTGACAATTGTATGAACTGTATAATAAATACAACACTAACAATAAAGTTAGTGCATTTCATTTCAGAACCAATGCCGCCTCCTTGGTTTTTTTAGGTAAGGAGATGGGGGGATTTCTAGGAAATTAGTACATTTTTTGGTTACTTATAAGCCATATTTACTTAACACTGCTGCCCTCTACGGGTCAAAGATACCAATGTTTATCGTATCAGATTTCTTTGGAGGAAGTCAATATTATTTTATTTGAATAATGCCATTTCTGCTAGAGACTTTATGGATGCATGAAAACAAGATCCCTGATCTGAAGAACTCGGATAGTATTCAATCATTGTTGAGGTGGAACAAGACTTAATAAAACTGGAGATGAGATTTAGCAAAGAGGTGGCTAGCCGTATAAGCATGAAGGCAAGCAGAAGTCAGAGTAGATATACATCTGAGACTAACACAGAGACAATTTACTGCAGAGCTAATTAGTCAACTCCGCAGCAAACATCTTGTATAAATGCCCCCAATGAGAATGGAGATGCTTAGCACAAGCAGTGAACTAACAGATGCTGATGAAGCAAGCGGCTGTTTATGAAAGCTTATGCTATACAGCTCTGATTTAGTTAAGTCTGTAAAGTGCAAACCTACCCAGCCTTCTGCCTATGTGTTGTAATGTTAATTCTCTCAATTTATTATTTTTTTTGGTGGCATAGTGAAAAGAGAAAAATATGTTAATTGGAGATCTAGGAATATAACACTAACTACAACCAACCACAGACTTAGCTGAAGCCCACAAAAAATTACTTCTGAATCAGGATTAGATGGAAAGTATTAATTCATTACATCATGGAAATATACAGTATTTACATTAATCCCACTCTAACAAAAAAGTCACCATAATGATTTTAAAGTGGACAGTCTTTATTTACAATTTTGTTGGCAAAAGGTGAAGGGAAAGTTTAAAACATTTTAAACAGAGGGCACCAGAGGTGATGTATCATTTCACAAATTTGCATCTTCGGTATCCATCTGATCAGATAAAGCAAACCAACACTTATAGGAGCATGGACATCTCAATCTGAAACAGCTCCATTTAAAGTACATTGCTCAAATAATTCAGGTGGTTTCTAAATCAACTTAATTACTTATTAAAAGATGCAGTTCTGGTGAAGAATGTTGTTTTTGTACCTGGCAGCAACATTCCCTCTTAAACTTGCACACTGGCAAAGCAGTTACACCTCCTACTTTTAGCTGAAATTTACAACAATCTCATTTTCTGTGACGTCAGCACTCTCAATTCAATTCTGAACTACTCTGAATATTTTACTGTGAAGTGTAGTCGAGACTGCAGCAGACGAGGCTGGAGGAAATAATCCTGATGTCTGATGTGCCTTTCAGCATCAGTTGGGGAAACCCTAAAAATCCTGTTCAAGAATTCTAGGTGAAAATATGTAGTCAGCTTCCACTTTGTCACAAGGACTTCAAATTCTTATTCTTCATTCCTCTAAATCAAGAGTGTTTAATTCTTCTTCTAGTTCATCCAAGTCCTCTCCAGTAAAAAGGTTTTCATCAACAGGAACAGCATCAATGACTCCATTTTCCTGTTCTTCCTCTTCTTCAGTGTCCTCTTCTGAATAAACGTGCTCCCCATTCTCTAACCCACCTCCTGAAGCTTCACTTAACTTGGTATCTAAAAATAATTAAACAAAAATTACAGTATCCAGCATTACAAGTTCTTACATTGAATCATTAAAAAATTATTGACACTAAACAGACTCCAAAATTGCTTTCGAGTCTGCCAGTTCAGAAGTTGCTAGGTTTGAAAAATATGCTCAATTATTTTCATTAGATGTGATATGGGGCATCTTTTAAGTCATACATGCAGCACTGACCCCTATATTTCACTTTACTGAATTCAGTGGGATTACTTGTGGATTCAAAGGATTAGTTTTAAATATTATAAATTAAACCAAAGAGTTTGGGTAGAAACACATACATATTTGAAACCGTTATCTTAACCAACTGCTTCGTACTATTATATTGTTACTACTACTCCTCTGTTTTCATATTACTGTATTGTAACAGGCTGGCTACACAGGGCCACTCACCTGTTCTGGGGCAGTCCGTCCAAAATCTTGCCCACCATGACTTTTTGTATAATAAACTGTTGTTAAATGCGGAAGACTACCCATTTTAATGCCCGATGCTCAAGGCGATAACGTGACTCCGACCTTCCCTTATTGTGTCCCATGCCTTGCAGATTGTATTCAAATCATCACAATGCCTCACACCAATGCTCCAGAGTCTCACTGGGACCTGCACTCCCCACTGGAGCATATAGTCATTGTGCTCTCACACTGGCATACCTTAATAACAACAAATATGGCCTCTGGCCCATCTAATACCTCAGGCATCTGTAGACTTACCTGGGCTTGGCTGCCCTCCTCTCTGGGGTTATACCCTTGAGTGAATTTCTCATGGAAGTTGGCCCCTGTGCTATACTTCAGGTCTTTTTCATGCCCCCTACTCGGCACACCCCCAGTGCAGCTCCTCAGGCCCTAATACGCAGGCTCTACTCTACACCTAAATATGTATAGCACTTTGGGTCATCCTTTCGCACCCTACTCTATGCGGGCCCTTATATATTTTAATCTACTATGCCCCACCACTGAGGCAACCAGGGTCCTTACCCCCGTATGGGCTCAGGTGTCCAGAGATGCGCCTGGCCCCGACCCTGGGTAACCCACCAGGGTGTGGGGGCTAGGGTTATAAGGTGGGGAGGTTAAGTGCCCTTGCATTTCTGGGGGGCTGCTCCACTATGAGCAGCCCCATCAGGCCATCCTTCCTCAGAGGATGCAGTTTTCAGGTCATATGCAGGACCAGGAGCCTCCTGCTATTCCCATAGCTCCTGCCCTTACCTCCAGGGTGCTCTGAACAGAACCCCAGCTGGGTGTTACTCCGTCAGCTGCCAGCAGCAAACTGCTGTGGCAGGCCTGAGGGCCTGGACCTAAAATGGAGCCTGCACAGCCCCCTCCTCCAATCCTAGGGCCCTCCTGCAGTCAGGTGACTGTTTCATTAGGGCTAGCCAGCACCTGCCCTGTTGTTTGCTCTTATAGCCCTTAAAGTGACAGGCACTGCAGGTGCTCTGCCACAGTAATGCTGAAGAAAGACATTTAAATAGCAAGGTGAAATCCCTGTCTCCTGAAGTTTACAACCTAACTCAAGTTAGCTAGCAAGGTTAAAAGTGAACTTAAAGATAGTGTTGCAAAAAAGTCTAATAAAAAAGGAAAAATATTAAGAGATTACATAGCATAAGGTAAGTTATCACAAGTAAAGTGTTTACTTTTCCCTAGGCTAGACAATACAGGTAACCCACACTGCTATTTAAACAGCACCAAGTTACCAGGTAATAAGTGAACTTACCGTCTTTTTCTACTGAAGTGTACATACTGAATCTCTCAGGACTAGCCACGGTAATACCAGTCTCATCTACAGCTTTTGGGACATACAGGTGCAAATCTATATCATTTACCTTCTCAGGCTCCTCAACCTGAAACAAGAGGTATGTTCTTTGAAATTACTCATTGTTTTCATTCTACCACTTAAGTTGATGTGAAAAGGAAGATTTTCTTAAAAATAATAAAATAAACCCTGTATTAAGCAATGGCAAATTAAGAAATAAAAACAATTCAATAATTGCTTTTAATAGAAAGCCTGTCAAAACCAAGAATCATAGAAAGTTAGGGTTGGAAGGCACCTCAGGAAGTCATCTAGTCCAACCCCCTGGCTCAAAGCAGGACCATACCTAACTAGATCATCCCAGCCAAAGCTTTGTCTAGCTGGGTTTTGAAAATCTCCAAAAATGGAGTTTCCACCACCTCTCTGGGTAACCTGTTCCAGTGTTTTACTACCCTCTGAATGAGATAATTCTTCTCAATACCTAGCCTAAACTTCCCTTGCTGCAAATCGAGACCATTGGCTCCTTGTTCTGTCATCTGCCACAACTGAAAACAGTCTAGCTCCATCCTCTTTTGAGGCCCCCTTCAGGTAGTTAAAGGATGGTATTAAATCCGCTCCGAGTCTCCTCTTCTCTAGACTAAATGGGCATTTGTATCCATGTTTGCGCCACAGCGCCGGGCACTTTTAAAAACACCCAGCGCTGTGGAGCATACATTTGTATAAACGGTGAAATGCATGTCAACGCTAAGAAAATGGCAGCAGGATGTTTTTGAACTAAAACACATCTAAGGTGTTTTAGTTCAGAAGTACACCACTGCCATTTTCTGCACCCTGATGTGCATTTCACCACTTGTGCACTGCTCTGCATCATGTGCGGTTGTATATCAGCTCACATGCAGAGCAGACTCAATCAAATTTGCTCCGACATGTTGGATCTCTGGTGCGTTGCAGCATGAAAAAGTATGTGTATAAATGCCCAATAAGCCCAGTTCCCTCAACCTGTCCTCATAAGACATGTCTCCCAGCCCTCTCACCATTTCTGTCACCCTCTGCTGGACTCTCTCCAATTTGTCCACATGCTTTCTATAGTGGTGTGGGGGGGGGGCAAAACTGAACACAGTACTCCAGATTTGGCCTCATGAGTGCTAAAAAGAGGGGAATAATCACTTTGCTTGATCTACTGGCAACATACCCATCAATGCAGCCCAATATGCTATTAGCCTTCTTGGCAAAAGTTACTCAGTTTTTTAAACAAAACCTGAAATATTACAGGTAAGAGCTAATATTTCCTTCTTTACCTCATCTTCACTGGGTCCTTGAGAGTACTGGGTGTCATCAGCTTCTTCATCATCTGCATCAACCAATTCAGGCCGAAATTCAAACACTTCACGTCCACTGATCTATCAAAGAAAAAACAGATATTAATATTTAAACAAGGCTATTATTTATAACACTATTAAAAAAACAAACATATGCACTCAGTTTAAATCTAAGACAGCTACCTTACTATAAAGCTTATTAATTTTTTCCTCTCACAATAAGAAACTCGATGTAAAACATACCACAAGTGCTTTGCCAGCTTTGAAGTCTGCTTTTCTCCTTTCCATATCTTGCTCAGCCTTGTCTATCTTTTCTTGTCTTTTTCTTTTCTTCCACGCAAGAAAAGACTCTAAGGTGATTTTGGTAACATTTGGTCCTAAGGCAGCACGCTGCACAAATCAAGAGAAACTGATTAAAGCTAATTTTTGTGAAAACAGTTTAGGAAATCTTTCTTCACAAATTAAAAAGACTGAGATGCTGTTTCATAAAGATTTTTTGTACAAGATGTTTAACAAGTTTGCTCCTCTAGTGTGTTCTGAACTCCTACTATTACTCAGGGTGAAATGAGGCAATCAAATAGCTAACTTAAAACACCACTGCCCCCTACTGGCAAATATTCAGCTAGACTCACTATACTCTTGTCAGATGAACAGAACAGAGAAATTAACACTTTCCAAACAAGTAATCATTTTTCAAACAACTGGGAACATTTCACTCAAGTGGCTATAAACACAGGTGAACAGCATCTCACTTGTAGTTGTTAATAGTAGTGCTTTGCTGCACAAGATTCAAAGACAAACTACATAACATTTAGGAGTCAATTACTTTACCTCTCTTTCTATTAGATCTTCTAAAGAAATTTCTTCTTGCTTTTCTTCTTTCTTTTTGTCTTTTTTCAGTACAAAACCAGGAGGGAGAGCATGGCGGTACATACAGTTGTCTCCTCCACCAGGACAAACCCAAAACCATCCATACTTATTGTTTTCAATAGCATCAAGAAAATATTTGCAGACCTGCATAAAACAGTAGCTGTTAGTGTTGCACTCTGCCTTCCTTCCACACCCCATCACTTTCTACAGTTTAAGTGAGTACATGTTATGTATTTAAGAACAGCACTGTAGCAAAACTCAATAATTTACAACTACTGTTAAATTACTATGTGAATGACCACAATCTAAAACAAAATCAATCTGGACGTATTTGGACAAAGAAACAAAGAAAACAACAAAGGCACTTACATTTTTTAAATAAAGCCAAAAAAATTAAATGTCTCACTTGACAATCTGAAAAACCCTCCCACAAAACAAAACAAAAAACCCAGCATTCCTGTACAAATCAAGCCAGAAAAGTGTTCAGAAAACAACACCACAGTTCCTCATTCTCTTTGGGAGTCTCATCTGAGACATTAACAACATATGGTCTCCAGGCTCCTTACTACACTCAACACTTTAGGAATTTCCATTCAGTGTACTGTTTTGCGATGTACTGACAACATGCATTTCATTCCTCAGAACAGTCAGTTTGGAAACTTTAACAAGCAATTCACCATTTTTACTATAGATTCCACACTGTTTTCATAAGTTATTCTTAACCATGTTATAAAAAATAAGCATAACCCACAAGATTATGCAAGGACTAGAAAAGCCTGTCTAAATTAGTAGGTTTTAAAAAAAATCTGCTGCCCCACCCTCCCGCAATAAAGATTAAACTATATATGTTCACTTCCTGACTATTTCTTTGTTCCAGTCTGAAAGCATACTAATATGCTATGTTTACAATCAAGGTCACAGGACTGACTGGCGAATGTAACTATGAACATTCAACTCTTGCAAGTAGTATGCTATTGTATATAATTTAACTATTATTACTCCGCATGTAGTTTTGATGTCATTTCTGTTTTAGAAAGAACAGCTTATTACATTTAGTCCCCAAATGCATCCATACATGAAAGTATATTTTAAAGTTATAGGAAAGTCCTGTTTCCTTAAGAAAGTGCAAATATATTTTCAGCAAGCCCACAGGTGATTCCAAGAAACCTCTCAATACATTACTTGACAAACTGAATACCTTTCTAAATGTAAGTTCCCCTAATAACATCTAATAATTACTAAAACCCAATGCAAGAAAAAAGACGCACTATTTGAGTTTTGGGTTTTTTCTTTTCCGCCTCACCATGCTTCTTGTTCACTACCTCTTCCAGCTTTTTCTCATCCCAATTATCCATCGTATCTAGATATAAATAGTTCAGGTTATAAATGGTAAGAACAAATGATTTCACTTGCATCTCAATTTATGACAAAATTCTAAGTCTCCATATCAATTTTAGTTAGATTCTGCACTTCAAAATACAAAACAATGTTATTCACCTGTTTAGGATCTTCTCTAAGGTATCTCAGTATAATTTTTAAAGTTTTGCTATCTTTTTAAAAAATGCATTTATAACCTTTTCTTTGAGAAAGTGTCAAAGATTTTATATTTCCTCTCTTACACAAGAAGGAAGGACGGAGGAGACAAACAAGGTGGGACAGCAGCCAGAAACAGGATAGAGTAATGTGAGCACAGAAAGCACTTCAAGGCAGAAGTCCAAGCAGGGAATTCCATACCATTCCTTGTGCATGGAAAAACACAGACATTAAGGGAAGGGGAAGGCTGCCTAAGTGTCAAGCCACTAGCTTTAGTAATTAAATTGTGTGGGGTCCTCGTGCACCACTTTAAGGGTAGAATACAGTGTTATGTTAATGCGAAAAGGAGCAAACCCATCTCAGTTCAGCTTTCTAACCCATGCTGGGCAAGTGTTAACACAAAAAGCATTCCATGTTCAGCAAATTATTGCAGGGGTGAAATGAAGCCAGACAAGCCATTGAGGCACCCTGAATTTAAGAACTGTGCAGTCCATCCCCCTCTCCCTTGCACACACTGTGCATGCATACAGTGCTGTTTGCAAAAGTCACAGTACACATGCTTTTTCTGAGGTCTCAATGTTTTACAGAAGCAACTGGAAATGAGGGGAAAAAAATCAGCTATTATATGAACCTGCCACTTCTATATTTAAATACTCTGTGGACCACAACTGCTTATCCCATAGCATTTTTGGGTCAAGCTGATCCTTTGACATAGAATCTAGAAAATAAACTGAAATCCACACTTGGAAGGGAACATTTTCAAAGGTTAGCTTATTATTCATTATTTGTATTGTTGCAATACACAGAGCCCTACTCATAGATCAGGACTCTGTTGGGCCGGGCACTTTACAAACATCAGGAAAAGAATATCTGTGCCCTGAACTGCTTGCGGACTCAGCTCAGAACTTATGTTCTAGAGGGCAGCACAGGGTGGCATCTTAAAGACAGCTTCTGATCGCAGAAAGTTAGGGTTAGAATGATACAGGCTGACAGCTATAAAATCTTATGCTATTCTGAATGAGTCTCTCAGGTACCATCCTGCTCTGACTTCTGACTTCAGACTAACATGGCTAACTATCTCTCTACTGATAGGAAACTCTAGAAGAAAGAGTTGTCTGTTATTTTCTAGAACCAACATACCTTTTTCAAGGTCTTCATCTCTTGCATCAATGTAAACACTTCGCTTTTCACACTTTCTTTCCAAAGATAAATCATGAGAAAACTTGCACTTGTCTCCTTTAGTGCACTGTCCTTGCTTGAAGAAAGCACAAACTACTGATTTGGGGTCTGCACCTGTGTCACCAGAAATTTAATATTTTAGTGCTATTCCCTGGTGAGACACTAAGGCGGTGTTAAGATTGTTTATGAAGTATTCTGAAAAGCATTAACATGGGATTTCAGTTGTTAAACATCAAGCTGTACACAAGAATGCAAAAGTAAAGTTATTTTATTCAAAAAGTTAAGAATGAGGGATTTTTCTCACAGAACTCATCTTCCTGCCTCAATTCTTCTAGCACAGTTCTATGTTTTATTTCTTATATGCTTCATACCTAGCATATAAGAAAGCATCCAGTGTGTTAAGAGTCCTTATTTAAAAGTATGTTGGTATTTAATGAACTATAAACATCAACACGCAGCATCATTAACTCATGCCCTATTCTACTTATTACAATAAGATCTAGATATCAAGGGTCTTTCCTATAAAATTTTATTTTTATATATATTGCTCCTATGATGTCAAGGTAAGCACCTTTGGGATATCAATTTTTGTGTGTGTATTGATTACTTAAACAGAAAATTATTAAGTATCTCATGTACCTAATACCAGCCTTGAAACAAACAGAACCTAGTTAGTTCAGGGCTGCTTTTAGAAGCCCCAAAATTGATGGCTTCTAATCAGTTTCACTAACTGCACTGTTAAATGGAGTTCAGTAACATTACAAGTTAGGCACTATGGCAGATTACTTACACAGTTAATGGGTTTATATACACTTCATCAATATGTAGGTAAGTGATGTTTGTTATAATGTAAGCATCAGAAAAAAAAATAAAAAAAATCAGAGAATACTTTCTGTTATGCACTTAAAGATATTAGGGCCTTATCCAATAAATGTATGTAAGGAGCATATACTGGAGCTGTTTAGAGAACAAAGTTACTAAAATAAACCAAGTTAGAATTGTTTACTCATTGATATGCAGCTAGGGTCTGTGAACATGTTTTTATCTGGTGCAGGTAAAATACCAACACAATGAAACACAAGCTAAAAGTTTAAGCAGTTTACCTTTACTAATTTTCTGGGCAGCAACTACAGGTTTGAAGAGTTCATTTAGTTCCTGTAGTTCTTTCTTCTTATCTTCTTTCTTTAATTTTTTTTCACTTTCAGCTTGAGCAGCCTATAATCATCCCAGATTTGAAGCGATTAGTAATATAGCAGAACTAAGAAGAACCAACCCTTACATAAACTATACACCAAAAATATACATATCATGCAATATTGATATAAACAACGCAACTGACTTCAGGAGGTGCCAGTATGTTTCTTTACCTTGCATTTAATGACCAGCGCCATAGTAGTATTCTAAGCAAATGGCAGCTCCACACAGTTTGAATCACTTCCTAGAATCTTTGTTACACCCAAAAGCTGTGTACAGTGACATCATTTCCAAGCGTTTAGCACTTGCACATGTGCATCATGACATAATCTGTTGGTCTTATGTTGCTCTTCTCTCTAAGCCTCCAAGTTCAAACCATGAGACTTGGAGAATTCCACTTTAAAGTGCTGAAATGGCACATATGTAAACACATAACCATAGATTTTAACACTTACATATAGTTTAAGATTGTATTTTGCCCTATGACAAAATAGAAATGCTCTGCATGTGCACATTTGGGAAATAAAGTGCCCTTCCCATGTTTTAGCTCAATAGTCTCAGGGCTGTCCAATTTCTAAGTAGTGGAAGACTATGCTGAGCAATGCACAAAAGCTGGAGGAGGGAATATCAGCCAAGAGATCCAGTGGACAGGGGGAGAGAGGGACCATGGAGGGAAAGCATGTCAAAGGCCTGGTCCAAGTGTCACTCGGTCCTGAGGGTGAAAAAATAAGTAAAGGCAGCATCAGCCCATATGCCATGAGATAAGCACTTACAGGCCACCAGTTAGACAGCCCAGGTCTAAGTAATTAAGGCAGTAGCTCAAAGGGAAGGAGACCCAGGCTCTAGGTCCACTCACCCAGAGGTTTGGACCTACATTTTCTGTTTTCCAGCAAAGTGCTCTCTAGCTACCAGATCACAGGTTACACATTACCTAGGCCAGGGGTGGGCAAAATGTGGCCCACAAGCCAGATGCGGCCTGCCAGGCCATTCTATCCAGCCTGTGAGGCCCCTAAAAAATTTAGAAAATTAATATTTATCTGCCCCTGGCTGCCTGTCATGTGGCCCTTGATGCCTTGCCAAAACTCAGTAAGCAGCCCTCCACCCGAAATAATTGCCCACCCCTGACCTAGTCCCTTCTCCAGCCCTTTTCTTGCAGCTGACTTTCCACACTTGTATTTAATATTCTTAAATGCACTGGGAAAGTTTCTGTGAAACTAGGAGTAAGGGCCCGGGGAAGCATCCATTTCACTGAGCAACACACCCTCTGGCTATTCTTTAAAGAAGTTAACCCATTATGACAGATGTGCACTAGCCATAGTACATTAGGTAAAGTAGCAGTAAAGACAGCAACTCCACCTCTACCACCTCAACATCTTATTAGGGTCTATACAAGATCTTAAAACTTGCTGAGAAAAAAAAATTACAGCAGATTTCTATTGCTTACCTGGCGTGGATTCTGTTGCCCAAATTTAACTTGATGAGTCACAGCCTTGATAAACTTCTGCTGCTTAGCACCTTTCTTATTCTTTAAACCAAAGGTTTTGTCCTAAATTAGAAGAGATTTGTATAATGATAGCAACTTAAAAAGTAAGTGAAACAACACTATTTACCATTGCTTTCAAATTTTAAATCCATAAAACCAGTACATTTGCTTCCTGTAGAATTCCTCTGATCTAAGGAAATGGGCACTGAGTGAACATCTCAGACAAAATTATACACTCTGTCAAATGAAGAGAAGTAGGGGGTTTGGGTTTTTTTTAATCATGCTTTTCTCACAAGCATGTAGCCTTTAGTGTCCAACACCTAAAAGCTGTCCATTCTTAGCCAGGGTAGAAGCAAGACATTTTTTAGATGTAATTAATACGTTTTAAACAAAAACACAGGTGTAACTTCCTTTCAAAAAGGTGTTCTGAACATAGGTTCTAAATGTACAGTTTGGATGTAATCTCTGGTTATAATATTAAAATGGGATGAAAGACCCATTTACAAGATGAAGCCTATATAAGAATAGTCATGGAAAGTATTAAAAACCAGTAGATAAAAAAATCAATAAGTGTTTGGTACATACTGTATAATAAATCCCAATCTTAAAAGGCAGTTATAAATGGCTGAACTAAATCTGACCAGATGATGCTAGAGTAATAAAGTAGGTGGAATATAATTTTATATCCCATGCATTAGACTAAATTCATAGTATGAGCTCTGTCATTTCAGGTGTCAAACTAAAACGTGTATCTGACCTCCAAAAAACCTTGTCAGTTTTTATTATTTTCCAGTATGGAGTCTCTGTACTCTATACTGATCACAGATTTATAAACAGATTTTTTTACTTTAAAATTATTTTAAGTAACTTCCAAGATGTAGTATAAACAAAACATTGTTTCTTATACTGAGAACCGTGTCTGAGTGATAACAGGTGGTTGGTCTGAACATCCTCTTTTACAATAAAAAACCTTTTTAGAAACTGCTTCCCCCAGTATCAAATGTTAGGAGGATTAGGATCTTTAATACACCGAATTGTGTGGAAGGCATAAACTGTGCGAGACCCTATACTACAGACCATTTTTTGTGGTTGAACTACCAAACTATTGGTAGTTCTTACAATGGGTGACCTAGAGACTCCAGCCTAAGGTATCTCCTTACTTCTGCTACTTCTTGGTATGATGAGTTGTGCTGTAGTTATTTGTCTGCATGTCCTTTTCCTCTACAGAGGTACTGTTATTTGAACTGTGGTTTACATGCATCATCTGTAAAAGATTACGATCCAACACAACAAGAGCATATGCAATATTCAAGGCATTTTCAATGATGGACCAAGCAGCTGAAACAAGGGGTCCTCAGCGTCTTCAATTTGTTGGCATATTTGTATACCAAATATGCCAACATATTTGGTACACAAATATGGATAATATATGGATAAAATACATACACTGGAACATATGTGTTCCAGTGTAGGAAACAATATTTTTTAAGATCCCCCTCCAGTCTTTAACCAATGTTGCCTTCTCCATCAAATAACACACCCAACTCATAAGACACTGTTATTAAAAAAAAATATGTTTCATTTTGTAGCAGCACTTATTGAAGAAAAAGACACCTGCTTTCAAGGTGCTGATGACCCTCTGTCCACACCAAGAAGTAACTATTCACTCTGCATCCATTCCCTGCCCCCTTTTTCCAGTTTCTTATTTAAGGGACATCCTTCTATACCAGCTCAATTAAAAGATTTATGCAAAAGCCTAACAGATCCTTTTATACCCCTATCTGCAGTAACAATGTAGCTCATTTATTTATCAGTCATGCCTGTGTTTCCCTCTGGTCTATTTGTTACTTTACACTAGTTACAATATAAGCCACTGATAACAAGGTGTTGGCTTAAACATCACTTGGGACAGCAGAGTCATCAGAACAGGAATCTCAACCTCAACTAGTTCCTTTTTTATTGAAGGAGCTGGAATATACAGTTGGAGAAACAAGGCCTTGCTCACGTAGGACAACCGGCAAGAGTGGGAACTAACAAGAAGCGTGACTACCTCCCGATTACTTCACATGAAATGTCCCGTGAAACATCTTATTTGAAGCGTTAGACATAAACGTTTGCTGGTAAAGCTCCACGGAGAGCAGGGTTTTGTTTGGCCACGATAAAATATCTCCTCCAATACCACATGCGGGCAGCGTGCCAGAAACCTCAGGACGAGGCTGCCAGCAGAAGGTGAAGCCAAGCTAAGAATAGGACACGATCCCGCGGCGGGACTCGCCCGCCCCAGCGCCCGTCGCCGGCCCAGCCCCGTCGCGGGCTCCGCTCCCCAACTCAGGGATCCCCGGGGCCAAGGCAGCGCGGAGAGGAGCGGGGAGAAGCCGGCTGATTTCCGGCGGGGCCGGGGGGCGGCCGGAAGAGGCAGAAGGGGCCGGGGAAGGGGGCCTCACGCCGCCGCCGCGCTTACCTCGATGATCTTCTCCTTCTTCTTCTGGTCCGCCTTCTTGTTGCCCCCCGCCGGCGGCGGC